ATGTGTTTTCAACCTTAAAATGCCAAATGAACACAATTAACATTTCAATTGTAAATTGATCAAGTTAACCAAAAGTCAATCTTTCCAAGTGAAAACACTTTCAGTCTAAAGACATTGAAAGCACGTCAACAATAACCATTTAAAGGTCAATCCTGGTATTCATAATGGTCAATATTGGTCAATCTTGGAATATAAATTTTTGTACTTCATTTATCAATATAAAAATGATGAAAGTTGGATAATGATTCTAATGGATAAAGATATGGTTGATTGAGGAAGCTATATCAATCAGCTTTTTATTGTAATCATCAAGAGATGAATAACCATGAAAAGGTGAGAAAAGAAAAGCTTTTTTCCAAGGTAAGGATGAGAATAAGAAATTGTTCAGTTCATTGATTGTGTTTGTGTGTGTGTCTTTTGTCGATTGGGAATTATTGTTTTCACTTTCATTCCAATTCAAATTCCCAACTTGAAACGGAAATTTACAATAACAATAAAATGGCGAATGAATTTGTTTCCATCTTTCCTGGTCAACAATCACCAATCATGCCTTTACCTTTACCATCATTATCATCATTATCTTCATCATCGTTGCCTTTCACTCAATGATAATCTTATTCCTTGATTTGTTTATTACTTCCAATGGGATCAATGAATAAAGGCTATTGTTGGACTCGCTTTATCATGCTCACAGTCAAGATGACCATTAAAAGATTTTGATCATTCTATTATTTGGTCAATGGAATCATTCTGATTTCATTTACTTTTCCTTTCATCCTTCAATCTTCTAATCACTTATTCCCTCAACTAATAATTTTCACTAAAAGTATAACTCCCAGTAAATGTATCTAAAAAAAGGCAGTTTTGCTATATCAATGTTAACAAGCAAGGAATGCATTTCAATCGGGAAAAGTGATAAATAATAAAAAAGGTTTTTCGGTGAAACTCAACCAGAATACAATGAGTTGAACCAGGAAAATGAAAGCCAACGAAACAAGCACAAATAACATTCATTTGCTCATCATCATCATCTTGAAGTGGATAACAACAAATTGTTAAAAAGGCTAAATAATGAGTAAAATCCTCTTGAGAAGCATTTTATTGTTACTTTCAATGGCCATTGGTTTTCATCCTATTTTTTTGCCTTCCTTGTATCACTTCCTCAACTTTTGAGTCTCGGTCTTTTGATGTACCTTTCACTTGATCACTGAAGCTCAATCAAGGTGATTAATAATGATAGATGGGACAATCAAAGTAAATAGTTGTTTGATTATGGTCCATCATTCAATGAATCTTCATCTTGTTGTCTTTACAGATCATTACCATTGAACCATTCAAACTGTTAACTAACCTTAACCAGTTTTTGTTTCACTCAATCCAAATGTTACATCTTTATATATTACAATTAGTTTTATCATGGACAAGATTAATCAATTTTCATTTAAAGGTAAAATGTCAGCTGAGTTTAACTTGAACAGCAGTTTAAAAGATTTACGTTGAATCGATTCTCAATTGCTTTGGCTTCTTGTTAATTCATAAATGGTTACATCCAACAATCATCATCATATTACTTGATTATTCATTGTGATTTTTATTATAATCATAAATGTGTAAGGTTGACAAACTTGAAAAGGGTGAAAACCTTTTCAATGCACTTTTCATTGAATTCAATGGAAAACTCTTGGCTTTTTTGTTGATAAATGGTATTGATTTTGGATTGCATAAATTGTTTACACACAGATTGCAATTGTTTACCAGATTTTTGTCAATATTTCAATTCAGTTGATTCAATGATTAAAAAATTCAATTCTCTGTTTACTCTTTTAATATTCATTTTTAGCGCCTTCAACCTTTTCTCTCTGTTTACTTTTGCGTTTTCACTTTTTTTGCTCAATGCCAACCACCAATTGTTACCCTTCTAATACCTCTGTTTGTTACTTATATTATAATTGCTTTTATTTTGTTGCCATAATTTAATTTTTTATGATTCTGTGCTTTCTAACTGTTCGAATGTTAAATTTAGTAAATTTCATTAGAATAAGCTGAAATTGAATTTATCTGAAAATGCTTTTGCCATGTTTCATTTTGTCTATTTTTAATGTAATAGTGAAAAAAAAGTGTAATCTCATCATTTTTTAACTTTCTTTTTAGACTGTGTTTCCTATTCATAATTTATCAACCAAGTAATTATACTTTAACATTTAAATTCACTTTTTTCACCTGGTTAACTATCAATGTTAATTAAACTACAATCTTGGAATTCCCAGAGTATTATATTGCCATTGTTAACTACACTTTCTTTTTGATTGAACAATGTAAACCGAGGAAAGTATTATAACAAAAACTCATCTAATATTTGTCTATTCTCGTGTTTAATGGTAAATCTATTTTTACTTCAAAATCATTCAACTTTCAAGTGCATTTTATTAATATTTATTATCATCGTTAGCAATAGTTATTGTGTTTGTTTATCCATTATGAATTAAAAGTGTCCAAAGTAAGCTTTTGTTGATTAAATCGATACTGTTGATGGATTCGTTGATGGAAGTCAATATTTAATTTAATTAGTTTGTACCGGTAAAACTAGATGGCGGTGTAAACGATCCAGATGACCGGCAATTTATTTTTTAATTTGTTTTGTCCGTTAATTAAGTGACTTTGTTTTTATGGATTGAAATGCTAATTAACTTTTATGAACATTACGATCGACTATTATTCACATTATTGATCAATCATTCACCTTTTATTGAAGTTTACCTTGTATCTGGTGTTTAACGTTTCGACACTTTTATGTTTCTTCATTCATCATCAACATTTCCCTTTGACCATTTGTCAACTGACTTTATGCAAGTTTTTTATTTTCCTGTTTGATAAATAAGTATCCAGCATCATTAATCAACAATTGGTAATAGATTGGAGTTTGACTTAAACTTGCAGTGAACACCTAATATAACAATTTTTACACATTAACTTTGTAAAAAATTGTCTCTCCACCAAAGAATGTTATTACAACATTAACACATTAACTTTGTGCTCTTTAAATGAAATGAACATATTTTAACCGGAATTGATTATCCTTTGTACCTAAGAAGGCGATGTGGAAAAATATCAAGACAAGAAAATGTCTCTTCCTTCATCTTGTTTCATAATGGCAAGTGTGTAACAGCATCAACACCAAATACATATTGTATTAACAGGACAAGAAAAATGTTACTTTAAAAGTCAGCATTTTATAAGACGATAATGTTTTTTTATCACATAATAGTGATAATGTCATTTCTTTTGAACGAGAGAAGAAAAAAAATGAAATGAAAAAGCATATAATATTCTGTTGTACGCAATTCATGGTGACTTCCTGTTACAGGGTAAAAACCTGACAATCTGATTACAAGAAGATAAGTTGATGTGAGCAAAATAACATGGAGAGGAGAGAGTGTAACATGAAATCATTGTAAAGATTGACGAAGGACAAGAAGAAACAACATTAATTCGAAGATGTGGAAAAAGAAAGAAGGAAACATTTCAAGCTTCAACGAAAGTTGTAACTTAAGAATTCTATGATTAATATGATTATTCTTAAACTGATGGCGTTAAAAAAAAGTTGGAAACCTCAAAAAACCCTGGTAAAAGACCCAAAGGAAGAGTCAAACAAGACACGAAACAAAATCTGATTGAAAACCATTAATATATAAAGTCAATGAGATAAAGTGTTGGAAGGATAAGTGATTAAACAACTGGAGAAACGTAAATAATATTGAAACAAGTCAAGACGGGGAGTTACTCAGGAAAGGATGGTTACTGGTGAATCCATAAGAATATCTTGGACAAGGAATTAAAATATGAAACGAGATCAACAATTTCGACTGATGGTGAAAGAGCAAAAGGATGGCAAAGATAATGTTAAAGATGAAGTTCAAAGATGATGACCAAGAGGAAAATTGCAGATGAATAAAGGACGATAAACAGGTTGAAATGTTTCTCAAGAAATGTTTACCAACAGCTTAATGGCAACACCAACATCAACTTACCCAAGTAATAATAGGCAACAACCTGAGAACCATTAATTTTGTTGAATCGTCAAAGAGCTTTGATTATTTGACGAACGAATCAATTTTAATATATTATTATATTACCATTAATATTATCATTATTATTATTACGTACAAAGTTAGCCTTGTTGATAGTGATGATAATATCTGTGGGGTGGGTTATGTAGGGTTTTATGTTTAGCACAAGATATGAAGAGAGTGAGAGTTGGAAGAGAGCAACTTTATGTGTAACTTATACTTTGCTCACAATCAGATCTATTTTTCCCCCTGTTTTGAGATTTTTTTCCTTCTCATCTCTATTAGATTTTGAATAGTCTTCACTTTGATATTATTATCAAATCAACATTCAATGGGCTTTTGATACCATCTAACTTCATAATAGTAATAATAATAATAATGTTTTTTACCAATCATTTTGTTTTTCATCAAATGTAAGCCCAACATCAACCCTTCAACAATCATTATGTTCAATACTTTTTCAAAAGTAAACTTAAAGTCAACTTTTTAACAGCAAAAAAACTTGACTTCTTGATTAACTGTAATTGAATCAGTGTAAACTCAACCTAATATTGTTTCACTCCAAACTGTTCAACCTTCCCAAGACCCATTGGTGAATGAAAGGAGGCAGAAAAATCAGTGAAAAATATCAATGATCAATACAATGAATCTTGTCTACGGAAGTAAACAGTTGGAGCCCATTAATGGCTACCAAACTTGTAACTTTTTACGTGACATTATACTTGGACACAATGAAAATCCTTATGTTGATGATGGTGAAAGGTAAATAATTATTGATTCAATTTACTTTTGACTTTTCCGTCTTTAAACCACTCAATAGAACCCTTTAAAGTTAAAATCAACTTCAACTCATTCAACTCATCAACCCTTATTACCTTACATTGTTGAACCTTTTTCACTTTGAACCTTTTCTTTTTTTTCCCTTTGAAAGTTCATTTGAAAAGTTGAAAGTCGATTAATGAACTCACAATTTTAGTTAATCAAATGCAAATGGTCATTGTTTTCCCATTCTCGGTCCCATTGTTGATGGTTTTGAATGGCCTCTCTTGCATGCAACCTAATATTATTAAATATTAAACATGTCCTCCATTTGTTGTTATTGTGTTCACTGGTTTTCGGGTTAAGTCAAAATCGATGGATCAATGGGAAGACATTTTGCTATCAAATTTACCTTCTCTCCATAAATAAAGATTAAACCTGAAAGGTTGAAGCTTAAATTAAATATTCAGTTATGCCAAAATTGAAAATCTTGTATTCATCAAATAAAAGTGCATTGTTTCCATACTTTCCAATCAATCCAATTTCACTTGAAATTACTTGAATGCATATAACTCCAGCTTCTATTCAATTATCAATTTCCATCCCAATCGATCCAAAATCAACCAACACAATCAAGAAATGAGATAAATATTGTGCAAAAAATATCAATAAAGTCATCAACCTGTTTACATTTCAAGCAAGAATAAAAAAGATTGTTATAAGTTATTACAAGCCAAGTTTGCTAACCTTTACCATTTAACTTTAACCATTACAGTTGATCATAAATCTGGTTATTTTGGTGATTTAAGGTTTTATTTTACACTAATTTCAATCAACATTTCACTTTGTTTATTATTGAATGGTAATATTAATTTGACTTGTCAAGTTTCTCATTTTGTTTTACTAGCTGTTTGAGAGGGAAAAAAGCAAAACACAAACAAACATTGTTCAACATAAACTCAGTTAGAGTCAAGATAATCAGTTGAACGAGTTAATTCACTTGATGAGTGATTATAATTGATTTTGATTTCGTGTAAGTGTATATAAAACTGATTTAATGTTAATATTAACATGTAAACGTTAAGTGATTTTGTTTACATTTACAACTTGCATTAACCAAATCAAATTGACTAAAGTAACGTTTCAATGAAAATGAATCGATGGAAATGTTGAATGTAAATAATTGTTGACCATTCTTTTGGTTAACATTAACAGATTAAGATGTGGTCAACATTGTACCAGATTAACAGTTTAGTCTGTTTTTTCAGGGTTATTCAACTTTTTTCACAAAGCTTTCATTCCATGAGATATTTTCTGATCAATAGCGGGATCAAAGTCATGAACAGAGAAACCAAAAAACCATGTAAACCAGGCAAGAAAATAAACCTAAAAATAAGCTTTCCTCATCAATCTATTTCTTGATAAAAACACTAAATTATTTCGATTTTTTCTCTTCTCTTTTTTCATGATCTCGATCTTTTCCGGTTCCGATCTTTACAAAGCCAGAACAGAGTTTCTCCAGAAGTTTGTTTACAGTTGGATCCAAATTCATCTTCATCTTTGCCTTTCTCCTTCCTTCAAAAATGTTTAACCATCAATTCCTGTGTAATAGGAACTTTTTCTGTCCCAGGATAGCTTCGTCTTGCTTGTGAACATTGACAACTTGATGGCCTAATATCGATGCCAGTCTGAATTGATAGGGAGAGAAAAAAAACAAAGAATCAGAAATAACATGAAAAAGCATATTCTTGCTTCTTCCTTATCCTCGTCTTGATCTTTCATCTTTTTTGGAAATGCATCATCTACTGTTTATCTCATCATTATACACTATCTTTGCTGGTTTTATTAGTTTGACAGTTTCTAAATATTCATCATCATCTGTTAACTCTTTCTTCATCTTTTCTCATCACTTTCTTTCCCTTCTTCCTGCTTAGTCTTTCCAATGTTAATATTTACACGAAAACAGTTATTAACATTATTATGGACTGATCAATCCCTTCCTAATGTAAACCTTATTTAACCCTTTACCAACACTTGACCTTTATCAAGACACACTATAGACAGAGAAGAGGTGAAAATAAAGCTTCAACACCAAACAATATTACCTTTGTCATAAATGATTATATCCTTGAATGATCATTTGATCAGAGGGAATAAAAGTTGTAACCCAACACAAAGAGTACCAATGAGTATAACAGTTCCAAGATTTTCGGTAACCAGTTGGGGTTGGTCCATAAATATCTCAATCACCATCCTCATGATTATCCAGGCTAATAAGTTCTTTAACCTTTGTAGACTTGTAATGCCTTCAATGTTACAATGGATACACTTTGATCACTCAATGATGACATCGTAAGGCTGCTTCACTAGTAAAGTTGAAGTTATTATACAAAGCTTTGTAAGGAACCAGAATATCCATAAATATAAAATAAAATAGAGCGAGAAACGAAAGAGACAATATTTAACCAAATCAACTCATGTTGGCCAAAATTAACGTTAAAATTAACCAAATTTCAAAAGATGTTTATTCTTACATTAACTGTATTAACAAGCATTGTTTTATTTAACATCAGAAAAAATAAGGACTCATTGCAAGTGCCTCCATCTTCTGTTGCTTATTGTAGCTTTTTTCTGAAAATACTTTATTATTTGTATTAATGACTTGTAATTGATATTTGGTTTATTGTTGTTTGACTGATTATCTGACGCTAATTGTTAGATACTTTCAAATAAATCTATTTTTCACACTCTATTATCTCTATTTTTCAATCTTAATTTGCGTTTCAATTCATAAAGATACATAATTCTCAGTTATTAAAACTGATACACTTTCATGAATACAACTTTCTTCGTTCATTCAGCCAGTCCGACCTTAAACTGTAAAAACAACTGTCGGTTAAATTAAGTGCGTAGCTGTGATCAACCAAAGTGTTAACTTCACTATCTATCTAACAATCTAACCATAATTATTAAACCAAATAATTATCACTCCAACTAACCTTGCTATTTTAAATTAAGTTTTACCTTTAATAACCTTTTCTCAAAGCAACTTCAATGGATTTATAGAGAAATAAAATCAAAACAAAGTGAACCCAAAATGTTTGTTTCAACTTGAAAGGGCTTATGTTGAGACATTAATTAGTCAAGTGAACAAGATTAAGCCTTTGATCAATAAAATTAAAAACAAAAGCTAATTATCAAGAATTAAAGTTAATCAAGCAAGTGGAAATAAAAAAGGTTATAAAGGACATTTGGATTAACCAATAACTACCCGTTTAACTGGTTACCCAAAATAACCAAAGTGCAAGATTGCATGAAGAAAAAGGTTTGATGATTGAGTAAAGATGAACCCAATGAGTTACATTTTCCTGTTGTCATTTCTGATTAATTGAACATTAATTTGAGTTCCAAGAAACAGTGAGGTCAATTGTGATAACAAATTTCGCCAACAATTTAGCCAACTGAAGGGCAACAATTGAGATCAAGACAAAGGCTGAAACGCGATTGATTTATGAATATAAATTTGAGTTATGCTTGCCAATTAATGGACAATTTATCACGATAAAATGGGTAAACCTAATGTCAATGTGCTACAAGTCTTAACCAGAAAAGCCAAAAAAAGTCACCCTTAAGGTAGATTTAAAAGAAAAGAAAAGGTGAAAAATTTTCTGCAAAACAAAAAGTAAATTCAATGTTACCAGATTAACTTTGGTTACATGGAATTTGAAATTTTGTTTAAATATAAATGTTGAATGATGAAGATGACGGTGATGAGGGTGATGATAAAGGCAAGAGTTGAGGATGACTGGGAGTGAAACAAGGGAGTTGATTCACCACCAATATATAGTGGCTTTCAAGTTGTAGCTTGTAAAGAGCATAATCAAATTGAAGAGACAAAAAAATCATATTCAGGTTGACTTGATTGTCGTATTTTTTTGGGTGAAATAAAAAAAAGAGTTAACAGTTTACTGATTGAACTTTCAACAAGTTGTTGGATTACAAACAACAATTGAATCTCATTACCAATTCAGCATTTAATTCACTAAACTAACCCAAAAAGCAAACCCAAAAATATTGAATCTCTTAAGTGTTTACACTTGTTTAAATGGTTATAAACAGACTTTCAGTTTATCAACTTTTCAACATTGTTAATTGTAAATATAAATGTCAACCATTGGTATAATTAATGTGGTTCAATGTAACAATTAACTCTACTTGTTATTCAACTGAAAACTCAAATTGTTCACTCGATGTCAACAGTGAAAACAGTAACAATAATAACCGCGATTGTAGTGCAATTAAGTGTGATTGTTGGAGTGAAAATCCTTGCCATTCAAGGAGTGATTTGATCAACTCCAAGTCTACATTCAAATTGATAGTTTCCTGGATTAACGAGAAAATGTCCAATTTATGGTTCTTTCGTTATCCAGGTCGCTTTGGGCGTCGATCTTCAGCTCGACAACCCGATTGTCTAAACTTGACCCAACTAAGAACACCTTCCATTGCCTCAACTGCCTCTTCCTCATCTCGACATACACTCAATCGAAGTTCCTTTCAAACGGACATTTCTCGTCGAGATGAGCCCAGCTCAACCGATGTACCTCGCTTCTCGTCTTCGTCTTACATTCCGCCACTTCGAAGGCGAACCTTGCCACCTGAAAGTACACTCAAGTCAACCGATAGTTATGACAATTTAGCATTCACTCCAAGGTGTGTATCCAAACCTAAGCAAGTAGCAATAAGAAACTGATAAACCGGTGAACCAAAATTTACTTTCACTCAAAATTGTTGACCATCTTGACCCTCTTATTGACTCTCATTTCCTCTCATTGTCTTAATCATCTTCATCATAACTCTATTACATTTCCGACCAAATTCATTCTCTTTTTGCTTACTCTTCCCTATTATCAATTTACCTTCAATTTACCTTTTGGTTCCTCATCATTTTCATCATTTCTTCTTCTTTTTTCATTCTCGTCATCATTTTGTTTCACTATTTTCATTGACTATTCTGTAAAACAACAACCATTATTCATTTTTCTGTACAATTTTCCTCTTCTTTTTTCATAAGATCAATATTTAATCGATTCTAGATATTTGATATATTATATTAAATATTTTCTTGCTCCATCTTACCTAATCTTTTACTTTTGATTTATTTTGATTAAATCAAAAAAATGAAATGAAATATATTTCAACTCAAATTGCATATAAAATGGTTCAATTGTTACATGAAAAGGTTTACCAATATCAAAATGTAATAATGTAAAGGTATTCAAAGCACAATATTATTTATATTAATTGTTGATCCTTTCCTTTCAATTTTACATTAAATTAGTTTCTATCAAAAACCCAAAAAAATTTCATCTAAAATTTCCTCAAATGTCAAATTTGGGTTTAGGCTCAAAACTGGTTAAACTAATATTATATAATACAAAGTAAATTAATAACATTGAAAACAAACAGAAATCTATTTTTAAATTGTAACATATTTGCTTAATTAATGTTTAATGATTAAAAAATAGATAATCAAGTTAATTTAAACCTGAATGTTTGTCCAAAAAATCGGGTAATTCATCATCAACCCAAAACCATAATAAACCAGTTAACCTTTAGAAACCCAATTTTGGCTTGATTAACATCACACTCCAGGCTATAGAGATTGTTTCAAGGAGGGTTAATCAAACAATATTAATCGACTATAATAATGATAATTAATAAATGTTAATTGTAACAGAAAAACAATTTAGAAGGAAATTTAAATTTAAAAATCCAAAGTTGACTCCAATCATAAATCAAATATTGATTGTCAAGATCAATATTACTGATTGGGATTGAAAAATTGTCATAAGTCTTTTACCCAAAAGATTTTCTGGTTTTCATTTCTAGTTAGCAGTCTAAGGCTGATTAATTTTAATTGTCTATTAATATTCTGAAAATGGATTTTGATAAATCAATTTCCATCATGAATACATAATCATAATGTAACACTCTTAATGTAATTTAAAATGCACAATTATAATCTAATTAGAGCGCAATTGATTATCCAAAATATAAGCATCAAAATGAAAAGTGAAAACGCTTGTTGAGGGAAAAGAGTGAATCAAATCTAATTGTTTCCCTTGATTATCTCGATAAAAGATGACAAGAAATTATCATTATAATCATTATTATTATTCAATTGATGATTATCTTTAGGGTTAAACTTGAGTTGGTTAAAAGATGATGAATATAAAGGTAAAAACAAAAGCAGTGTTACAAGTGTTGAGCTATATTTTAATGAGACTTTGGTAAATTAAGCGTAATAATAAATACTAATAAAACCCAAGTAAATTGGGTTGGTGAAATTGTCATTTACTCCTTCAGGGTTAACAAAATGAAACTCATCTTGATGACATCAGTTTTTATCTCTTGTGAAAAGATGAACATGATAAAGGTGATGAAGACTGAAATGGAAAGGACAGAGGAGCAGAAAAAAAATTCATTTTCACCCTGAATCGTGATTTTCAGACAATTTCCTAACTCTTTTGTTGAACAATTTTTTCTTCCTTTTCTTTCAACACTTCATCCTCATCAATCCAGATCTTCATCTCTCCTTCATCATTTCCTCTCAAGGTTCAGGTAATGTCTTGAATAGTCAACAGGTAACGAATGTTGTAAAAACATTTACATCTGGTAAAGCTGCAGGTTAAAAGTGAATCAAAAAAGTCTTTTCTCGATTAACAATCAATTTTCACTATTAACATCAAAAGCTACTTTTCAATTTTTAATCAACTATTCAATTGAAAATCAATAAATATCTTTCATTCCCTGGTTTGAATTAGAGTTAAATTTATCATTAAACATCGGAAAGAAAAATGATTTTTGGGTTTCTGTTCATTGATCTTAATATTTTTGGGTTATGATGAGCTGAAGATGAGTTGATTATTTTGTCTCGATTTGAATGTTCTAATGATTTTGTCTCATTTCAGGGTTCGAGTTGAATTTTATGTCAATGAAAATACCTTCAAGGAAAGGCTTCAAGAGTATTTGATAAAAAATAAAAAGTCAAGTAAGTTTAACTGATCAGTTTTGTATCCAGTTTTCAGCATTTGATTCTTGATATTATTTTTATATTCTCATGAAATTATATCATTTAAACTTTTGCTCAAATAACTTGAGCTTATTTCAATATTTCAATGGGAATAGGAACAAAAAATGAGTTTACCTTTTTTTAGCTGGAATAGCTGGAAACATATGATTTATAAGATGTATAAGATTACCGGTGGAAAGGTTGATTGTTAACAAATCAAATTGTATTCAATTGTATTTTTGTTCATCATTCATACGTTGATATAACAAATGAACAATAATAAATCCATTATAAATCCATATTAAAGCAAATCCCATTCTGATTTGAGAGAAAAGCAAGGATTTCTTTTGTCAATCTCATTTTACTTTTTGTTTGTCAAGACCATTTGAAATGTAAAAACTGAGCAAAACCAATTTGCATAACAAGTTTTCATTTTTCACTTTATTTTCAATGCTTTTTACATGCATTACAGTAATTCAGTTTACCGTTTATTATATCAAGAATCATGTTTGAAGACTAATTCAGATGCTAACAATTTTCATAAATTGCTATCAGGTTTTAGGATAAGAGGGGTTAAAATGGTCCTCAAGCTATTTGCCTGTCTGCTCTATGTAATAAGAGTCATGCTTGACGACGGTCCTGATCCGGCTGATTGGTAAGTCAAAACTTTAAGAATTAATCCATTGAAGCTCAAAACAATATTGTAATTTAGTTATGTTCCTTCAAGAGCTATGGGCTAGAATTTTTACCTTTGGGTTGAGATTTTGGACTTTGTGGGTGTGTAGGGTCTTAAATACTTTGTCTTGTACCGAACCAAAAAGTTTTCTGATAAACCGTTCTCGAGAAAATCGCGGTCAAAGTTGAAACTTAGATTGCATTTTATTCGGTCCTGGAAGCAGATATTTCCGTGAAACTCATTTCGCAGATGTAAAATTTGATGACCAACTAGAGCGTGCATTAATTTTGAGAGAAAAGTCTTCTGTTTTTGTGCAAAACAGATCACTTCGATTTTAATTTAAACGTGTCGCATTCGATGACCGTGATAGTTAGAGACTTGAAACTTATTATTTGTGGCTAAAAATAGATTGTACACATCAACAAATAAACACTTTTTTGAATATATCGACAGTTCTCTCGATTTTGACCATTAACCCAAAAAGTTTGAGTCTGAATTGTTCGAGAACGGCAGCACTTACAATTGTAATTTTTTCACTATTCGTTAGATTTTACTATGGACTGAAATATTGGTTCATTCAAACTTCTGAAAAAAGTTTTAGCGTTTTATTACATTAACTTTACATTTGATACCCAATTTTTAAAGATAACGTTATCTCAAACATAAACCTTATGAAACTGCAGGAGGAAATTCATTATTAAATGATTAGCTCAGATTTCCTGTAGTATTTATTTATATCATGTTATTCTACTCAATAAAATCTAACGAATGGTCAAAGAATGGTGATTGTAGGTTCCGCCATTCGCGCAATATTGAGACTCAAATTTTTTGGGTCAATGGCCAAAATCGAGAGAATTGTTGATATATTGAGAAAAGTGTTTGATTGTTGATGTGTACAAGGAATTTTTATCGACAAATAATAAGTTTCAGGCCTCTAACTATAACGGTCTTCGAATGCGACACGTTTAAATTTAAATCGAAGTGATCTGTTTTACAGAAAACTGAAGATTTTATTTCTAAAAATAAGTGCATAATCTAGTTGGCCATCAAATTTTACATCTGCGAAATGAGTTTCATGGAAATATCTGCTTTCATAATCTAATAAAAGGCCATCGAAGTTTCAACTTTGACCTCGATTTTCTCGAGAACGGTTCATCAGAAAATTGTTTGGCTTGGTGAAAGGCTGAGTATTTAAACCCCTAAACACCCACAAACTCCTAAATATTTACTCGAAAGTCAAATTTCTTGTCCGTAGTCCTTTAAGCTACCTTTAAGCTAAACTTTCTACTCTTTGTTTTTAAACCAACTTTTGCATCAATATTGTGTTAATTTTGACTAACATGCATCTTTTTTCGGCTTCTTTAGTCCAGAATGTAATCATATTGGAACTGTTAAAGACTCTAAATCAATTTACCAAACGATTCCGTCCAATTCTGAAAACGAAACAATCACTTCACATAATACAGACCCAATTAACTGGTAAGCAAAAACGTTTATTTAAATATCTAAAACTAGTGACTATTTGTCTCTAGACCATTGTGGCCGAAATTGTAATGAAAACCTAAGCCAATAACTGTACTGTTTTTTGTCTCTAGGAAAGGGATAATTTGGGTTCAACGTAGTTTTATAATCTGGTTATTCGAAGCCATCATCTCAGTCTTTTTTGTAGCCGAAGTCATTCTTCTGGTATATTTAACCAAAAAGGTATTTCAAACGCTCTTAATTTTTACCAATTTTACGAATTTTTTACTGTGAAGCTAACTAATGACCGCAATGATGCACAAGTCTGCTTTAAATCTCAACCTGGATTGAGGCATTTCAGGCATAGAATATCATTTTAATTTCACTTTCCACTCGCTTTTGGAGACAAATTCTTGTTTCTAAAACGCTCTTCATTATTATTTCGTATTCTAGTTTTAATTTTTTGAGTTTTTTGTGATTAATTGTTTCGATAATGCAATATAACTGAAATAATCAGTCTTTACAAAGTGATTGACTGTTGAATGGATATTTTCTATCAATCCACAAATCATTCCAACTGTCTCTACCTTTTTCATCATACAGAGTAGCCTGATGCGGACACTTTTTTCATTTCATGTTATTCTGGAAATTGTAAACAATGTACCTTTCCTTATCTCAGTAAGTAATCTTTGACACTCGACTTCACTCAACAATTCTGATTGATATTTAACTTAATTTGGTTTAAATTTTCTCCCCTTTTACCAATGATGAAGATATTTTATTCACCATTTCGTACCATTTTTGTTCCAACCTTTCTTCACTGTTGGTTGGCAAAGCAAACTCTTGAAAAAATGTTTGTAAGTATACATTTTGAATTTAAAATAGTTCATTATTATTCAATAATTGGCTAAATTGAAACTGCAAGCATTTCCATCACTAGATAGTCAAATAATAATTTGAGAATCAAACCATTTAAATTGATCTCATGAGAGGCTCAATAAGGTACAATTGGCTGTAATTTTTGTTGCGTTTACATTTGATTAAGGAAGCGATTTAGATTCATCTTTGAATTATTTATCACCACATCAAAATGTTTCAATAGTTTACAGGGAAGAAGGGTGAATAATAATACATTTTACTCAGGTGAACATTTGTTAACATTTCAAGTTAAACATTTTCATCATGAAACTACTCTAAACAGGGACTGACAGGGAATAATATTGAGCAATGAATAAATCATATCAAATCAACTGTGAATTGGTAATGATGAGCTTGATTTTCATAGATTGTTCATTACCATTGAAGTAAAGGAAGAAATCAAAATCATTTTACCCTGATTAACTACGTGCTTGGAGTGGTTAAAAGATATTCATTTTTACACTCAACTTTCAAACGTATGAAATTAAATAAGCATAAAATGATGAGAATACAATTTTCACAGAACAATGCCAATCTTTTATCATGATTAACTCTTAATCAAATTTAATCAAAATCTAATTTCTAGAATGATGTTCACCGAGCGATGCAACAATCTCAATCAGCCTTATCACAACGACTCACAATTTTAATAACAACCTTAATATGTCTTATTTTTACAAGGTAAGGATTGACAATCGGTGTAATTGCTGTTGATTTATAATTTCTGTCTGTTTATATTTTCAGTGTTTGTGGTTTTCAACATTTTCAAAGAGCCGGAGGACGCAATGTGAACCTTTTTGAATCTCTTTATTTTGTTGTTGTTACCTTTGCTTTTGTTGGTTATGGTGATTACACACCTGAAAATACGCCTTCTCAACTATTCATGGTGGTAATGATTTGTGTAGCACTCATTGTGTTACCGACACAATTTGAACAGTTGGCCTGTACTTGGATGGAAAGGCAAAAGCTTGGTGGCAATTATAGCGTTCAAAGAGCTCAAACTGAGAAACATGTAGTCGTTTGCAGTACAACACTTCGCACCGATACCGTCATGGACTTTCTCAATGAATTTTATGCGCATCCACTTTTACAGGTATCTTCAATGTTTACCAGTTTAACCCAATTTACCAGTTTCACAACAACTGTTTATTTAACAGCAATTAAAGTTTATTTGGTCAAACGTCTGGTAGCTTTTCAATGTATTTTTGTTATTAGCTGGCAAGGTTACTTTGGTTGTACAATTGTGATTCTGGTTAACTTTAGGTTCACTGTTTAGCAATTAATTGAACAAGATGATGGTTACATGATTGCTTCTAATTTTGTTTTTCTTCTTCTTTTTGATCCATTTAATTGCTTATAAATCAATTCACTCCAAAAAGGATTTTTACGTTGTTCTATTGAGTCCTTGTGAACTCGATACTACCATGAAGATGATACTGCAGGTTCCAATGTGGGCTCAGCGTGTTATTTACATTCAAGGATCAGCTTTGAAAGATTCAGATCTTACAAGAGCAAGGTAAAGTATTAATGTAATATCACTAATTATACCATTTCAGGTATTCAATGACAATTCATTTGATTCTCAATCAACTATCATCTTTCATTGAAACAGAGTCGATGCTGCTGAAGCCGTATTTATATTAGCAGCTCGTAATTATGCCGACCTTGGAGCTGCGGTAAGTTACCTATTAAATTATAAGTTACAATTACATTCAAGATGGAAGATTAAATATAGATGATTCAATTGGGTAAATTAAAATTTAATCACCTATCAATTGGCAAATTCAAAGGCCTTAATTGAAGCTATGCTTTTAATCTTAACCTGTGTTAAAATGGAGGAAAATAAATTTTCTTATTTGATCTTCAATCGATTTTCATTTTCCTATTGATTCAACACTTAACTCAATTGTTTCTCAACAGGACGAACACACTATTTTAAGGTCTTGGGCTGTTCGTGATTTCGCTCCAAGTATCCCTCAATATGTACAGATTTACAGGCCTGAGAATAAGATTCACGTTGTTTTTGCCGGTGAGTTTACATTTGATTAGTAAATGATGAAAATCTTGAATTTAATGAGAAACCTTGGTTTCAGCTCACGAGGGAACATACCCAAGTATGAAATCCACAATCTTTCATCAACAAAATCAGAGTCTACAAAATGATCTGAAAATTGTCTTCTTATTATCACCAGCTCTTTTTATTTACTTATAATCCGATTGGGAATTAAAGGTTAAAATGAGACAATCAACTTAGTGATTAAATTTAATAGGCAATCCAAGCTTGACTCCCAGTTTTACAATTGATGTTTCAGTTTGCTATTAACAAGATGAAGTGAAGTGACAAAAATGAAGAGGAAAAAAAGTGATGAAAATGACTTTGTTGATGTAAAACCTTATGTTATAAAATATAACCCTTGAGATTAATCATCTTTATGATTTGAGTTGAACAAAGAAGGGAAAACCAATCAATGAGAAAATGGGAAAAAATGAACATTTTCAATGATATCAGATTTGGGTTGAAAAATAGTTTACCCTAATGAAAGTGAACCTAAATTTGAACCTTTTTTGTCCCATTTACAGAGCACGTTGTCTGTGAGGATGAATTTAAATACGCATTATTGGCCAACAATTGCCTTTGTCCAGGAACCTCAACCCTGGTCACTTTGCTTCTTCACACTTCTAGAGGACAGTAAGTTGACTGGAACTCAAGTTCAATGGCAAATTAGATTGGATATAAGTTGATTTCATTTATTTTGACACTTTATTTATCTAGAGAAGGTCAAACATCAGATGAAGAATGGCATCGATTGTATGGTAAATGTTCAGGAAATGAAATTTATCACATAAGATTGAGTGATAGTCGATTTTTTGGTGAATATGAAGGCAAGAGTTTTACTTATGCATCATTTCATTCACATCGAAAGTAAGTAAATATTGATTGATAAGTTCATTTTTATATTCTCATCTCTCTCCACTCAATACAGGGAAAAATTGATTCTTATTTTTTCCTTGCTCTTGTTTACAGATATGGAGTGGCCTTAATTGGAGTTCAAACTGATATGAAGGGAACCTGGCCCATCATGTTAAATCCTGGTCCAAGTTACATCTTGAAAGCATCTGATATCTGTTTTTACATGAACATTACAAAAGAGGAAAATTCAGCTTTCCTTCCAACACCCAATTCAGATGGATTGGGTTCAATGAATAGTCAACCTGGTCGAGGTAATCAACAGCAACAATCTACATCTGATAATGGCAATAATAATGTTACATCCAAAGTCAATAATAACCTTATTAAAGTAAATAGTAGCCTTTCTGTTGGTGGTTCAATTGAGATTGGGTTAACCTGTGATGGTGATGAATCGGGTGAAAATTTGTTGAAAGCTGATGAACAAGACATTATTCGGAGATTGTCTTCTGTCTCTAGCATTTCAACTGGTGACTGTCTGTCGGTTGGAAGCAAGAAAAATTCAATGATTGAAATGTTGCAAAGTGGATCACCCAGTAATCGACGTAAATCCAGTTCCATTTTTGGCTCTTCAATGGACCTCGATTCTAACCGTAAATCGAGACGAGACTCGTCACCTGCAAGAATTAAAAAAGTAGTCTCGGATTTTGCTGCTAAAACAAAGAAAGCAATGACAAGGAAACCTGGTAATCACCTTCAAGTGCCTAGAATTGAGTTTGGTTTGCCTTCAAGAGATTCATCGCCCAGTGATGTTGTCGCAGCTCGAGGTCGAAGGCCTTCTATTGCTGCTGTTCCCGTTATGTTTGATGATTCCTTGGATGATGAAGATTCAGAGTCTAAAGATGGATTAAAAGATGAACCAAAAGAAAAGCTTTGTGATTTAACTTGGGTAACTCCATCTGAATGCTCAGAGTAAGTTAAACCTGAACTTTACCAACATTTCATTATAACTTATAAGTATGGCTTAAGCCATTGAGTAAGTTTCTTATCAAATCAACAGTTAGTTTTGAGAATCGATTCCTATTTTGAGGAGTTAATAAAATATCATGAAAAATCCCTGCTTATGAAAAGCATTTTAAGAAGCAATAAACATAATTTATACTCTAATCAGAGTTTTCAGTGTAAACTGTTTCAAAATTTGGTTGAAATTGAAATTCAATTTAGGATATCAATGAAATTAATGAAACGTTATTGATTTTTCCTATTCTTTATCGTAACCATTAGTTTTTACTCCAATTATGTCTAAGCATTAAATGCTTGTCTTAAGTAACATTGATTCCTGTCTTAATCAATATCATAATCTTCTTATTTTCCAATTAAATTGTCTACTTTTTGAAATCTCAACAAAAACGATTCAAATTGAAGTGACTGATGTTAAGAAAGCATGTGAATTTTATTTGAAATACATGAATGTTTATTGACTGAAAGATTTAGAATCGTTGGAATACAAATTTGAAAAAAATAATAATGAACATTTGCTTAGCTTATCAGAAATAATAGCTGTTTATAAATTGAAATTTGGGTTGTAATTGGCAATTTGGTAAAAGATGATTGATTTCAATTTTTTCAATTTCAGGATTGTTAAAGGTTTCCCTCCAGTTTCACCTTATGTTGGTGTCAGTCCTACTTTATGTTACCTTGTAAAGGAAAAGAAACCGTCTTGTTGCATGGTGTTAACAGCTGATTGTGAACATTGTTCCCATCAACATGCCCGTGAATACAACTGGCCTACTCGTTGTATCATCTTGGCTGCCGATTTTGCCTCTAATGCAATTTATAACTTTATAGTTCCACTTCGAGCTCACTTTCATTCAGTTAAATCCTTGCAACCAATCATTATCCTACTTGAAACCGAACCAACCCAAGCTTTCATTGATGCCATCTCATGGTTTCCTCTTGTTTACTGGATGCAGGGTTCAATCGACAGGTAAATACTTTACTTTATTAAACTTGACATTAAATGACTTTGATTGACTTAAATAGTAAATAAATTTTTGCATTTTTCAACAGTTTGGATGATCTGATCAAAGCTGGTATCAACCTTGCCGACTCTGTTGTTGTTGTTAATAAAGAGACAACCAATTCAGCTGAGGAAGACTTTCTTTCTGATTGTAATACAATTGTTGCAGTTCAAACAATGTTTAAAATGTTTCCAAGTGTCCGAATAATTACCGAACTCAGTCAATCGTCAAACATGAGATTTATGCAATTCCGTGCTCATGATACTTATGCACTGTCTCTTTCAAAGATGGAAAAGGTAAGTTTAGTTTAACCTATAGCCTTTAATGAAATAATGATTTATTATTAAAATTGATAATCTAAATCTATCTTTTTGTGTAGCATGAACGAGAAATAGGTTCACACATATCTTACATGTTTCGACTTCCCTTTGCTGCTGGCTCCGTATTTAGTGCTTCAATGTTGGATACTTTGCTGTATCAAGCCTTTGTTAAAGATTACATGATAACCATAATTAGACTTTTACTTGGTATCGATCAAGCTCCTGGATCAGGTTTCCTGTCATCAATGAAAATTACCAAAGATGATCTATGGATACGAACCTATGGAAGGTTATACCAGAAATTGTGCTCAACAACATGTGAAATTCCCATTGGAATTTACAGAACTCAAGGTTCTCATACTCCTGATGCAACAACAGTACGTTGTCAATCAAAGTTATCAAGATTTTACGATCATTTCACTGTCAAACTGATCTATTGTTTTTCTTGAACCTTTCCTGTTCCATTACAGATAAATCTAGATTTTGTGTTTCCAATTTTTAATGAACGAGCTCGTTATCAGCAATTATCTGCCGAGATTGAACGCCAAGAGATTACAAATCTGGTCAAGAATCGGATGCAAGATTTAGGATGTCCAATTGAAGATTATGGTGAGCAGATTCAATTAAACACTTTCTTCATTTTTGGTTCTTAATCATTTGAAATTTTCTTTTCCTTCAGATGACGTCTCAGAAAAGCGAAGCACAATTTCATACGTGATAATCAATCCAAGCTGTGATTTAAAATTGGAAGAAGGTGATTTCATCTATTTGATTAGGCCTTCGCCAATCAAGAGTAAAAAGACTTTTCTTACTCGAGGAAATTCAATAAGAGTGTCTAAGGCTTCACTTAAACGAAAAAGAAGTCGAACTGGTTCGATAACCTCTAATGCCAATGCAAGTCCAGCTTCTGGTTCACCAGGACAGGCACAGCCGGTGCAACAGTTGCAACCTAAAACCTCGACAATGACTGATACTGATCAAGTGAAAGATTCAAGATTAAATTGTGATGATTTAAGATCACTTGGCAGTGGCTCAAGTAGACATCAAAGTATTTCCGAAGAGCGAACAGCTGAGGAACTCGGAGACTTTCAACTTCACTTGCCTCCAACCATTACCATTGTACCTTCACTTCAACTGAACTCAGCACCAGGTGAACCCAATCAACCTCCTCCTGCTTATCATCATCATCACCATCAACATCATACACCTTTTGGATCGGCTAACAATTCATTTGTCAATCAAATTAAACTTCCAGTTGAAGGGAATGGACTCAGAGAAGAGGGACAAAGAAATGGAGAGTTTCATCAATCGCAACTTAATCATTAATTTGGCTAATTGTTTCTTTATTAGTGCTTCTGCATAATTTTGGTTTCTTTTTAAATTCATTGTTAATGCTTTTAGTAAAAAAAATACTCAATCTCAAGTTAAACCTGGACTAAACTTGAAACAATCAAAGAGACTGTGAATTGGCCAAACTTGCAACTGTACTCAAAGCCAGATTGAACAATCCATTTCCATCATTTAATCTCACCTTTCTATGATTATTTGATTTACTTAGAATTAGATGAAATTAGATTATGGGAGGAATCCTGCAATTGTAACTCACATTTCATGTTTTTTCATTCATTCAACTGACAAAAAATGTTTCTCATTTTGTTAACTGTTTTGTTGAAAATTTAATAGTTGATCTTTAACAATCTTGTCATTTTACAGCTTTTAACATATTAATAAATATTAAAATAGTGTAATTGTTATCCGATTTCATCTCTTTTTATTCCCGATTTGCTGTTGAATTCATGAAACGTTCGGTGTAACTGTACAGTGGTGATTAAAATTTTGAACAATCAAGAAAAAAGAAAAGCAATATTCAAGGTTAAATCTTTTTTTAGATATCAAGACGATTGCATGATAATAGGGAATAACAATTTAAATTGAATCACAAGTTATGAAAAATATTCAGCTTTAGTAACCTATAAAAAAGTCATCTTCAATTACAAGTTCAATCAATAGCTGAGCATGATGGAAACCGTTATTAAAATCAAAGTAAAATTAATGCTTTCAAGACAATGCAGTCAATAACAATTACAATCGATAAAATTTTATTTAATAAGTTACTGTTTATGAGCTGGCATTTATTCATTGAATATTGAGTAAGACTGGGAAAAGTTTCCATTTTTACGGTGAGAACCTTAGAATCACAAGTTTAACAATGTAACCCTTTGCAGTTTACGTACTTCCCCCAGTATTTGCAGTCATCGGTCAAAATGATCAAACAGGTGATTGAATGGTTTTTCCCTTTGTTTACTTCAACTAGGAATATTGATAATTTTTTCGGTCATCGCAATTTTTACATTAAATCATCGTTTCCCGAACAAGAAATCAATGTTGGCCCTAAAGTGTGGATTTATTCAATTCTTCAAATGTTTCATGCTTTTGTGCTTCTTATACGCTGTTTAATCTACTTTTTTGCACCTGAAACAAATAAGCTTATTTATGGTGATACTCTTAGTATTTATGGACATGAAGGTGATCGATTTGCCATTTTATTAATAATCTTCTCTATTGCTGCTGGTCTCAGTCAATTATCATTCCATACAAATGTGAATCGTCGTCACTATCCTTTTTGGACTCGAGTATTCAAATTTGAAAAGCTTGGCCATAACTCACGTTCTCAGTGTTCTCTGCATCTCAACTGGGTTGATAGGCTGAGATTTTTGACCTTTCGATCTTATTATATGCGTTTCATTCGATTGTTTGAGTTCTTGTTATTACTTCCAATCATTGGTATATCCATTCCAGTTTTATTTCATGATGGTCCTCTTCTTATATGGTCTTTATGGTTTTGCCATAATGTCCGTAATTCATTCACTATCATGTTTATTGGTTTCACACTTCCCTCATGTTTAGCTGTTGTCCATGTTTACATTAATTTACGCCTCTCAACTGTTATCATTCAACTAGATTCAATCAAGAAACAAACTGCACACATCATTAGATCACATTTTAGAGCCAAGTACAAATCACCAAGTGATTCAAGTTTTTCATCAAGAGCTTCAACTTCATTCCGTAGTCCTGTTTCAAAATCATCAAAACAATCTTTTACTATTCCAAATGAGGTCGCCCGACGGTTGGTCAATCTTATTCAAGAGCATGGTGAATTATGTTGGGAAATTAGGAAATTCAACGTTTTCTGGAAACGAAATCAGTTGTATACTTTTTTTGCCGGTTTCTCAAGTATTTGTCTTCTTGGCTTTTTAACAACTGCTACAGATATTCACCTTCCATTGAAGCTTGCCTATGCATTTATTATGGTCACTGCATTTGTCTATTGTGTAGCCGGACCTTTTTTGGCTGGTGCTTTAATGTTTCACCAAGTATGTCCGTTAAGCTGTCAATTTCAGGACCTAGATTGGGGCAGAAATCAAACCATTAATAAATGTGCATTTAAATACATCACAAGACAGATGAACATTTGGGGTGAAAACAATTTTATCAGATCAGTTTTTTTATCCAAAAATCAGGTTATACAATTTTTAGGCAGTTAGATTTAGAGGACTAATTTGATTAAGGAATGGCTGAAAGGAATTGAGAAACCCTGTATTTGCAATCAATGATATTTCTGGTGATATTGTAAAATATAATAAATGGTTAAAGTTTTGGAAACTTTAAATATATAATATCAAGTTCTCATGTGCAATATCCAATAATAAATTCAAGATCAACATGATAACAACATAAATTAATGGCAAAAATGCCATTTAAGTTAATTATGACTTCTACCATTTCAGATAAATCGTTTACGCTATACTTATTTAATTTAGTGGTGTCAAAACAAAGAAATAAAAGTTATTGAGTAATGATTGAGATAATTCAGACATCTAATAGTCTAGCTGTACATAAATACAATTTTAAATAATCGATCTCGATATTTGATAGGCAAAACTCAAATAACCATAAACTAAGTTCATGTTAATGGATCCACATAAATAATTAATGTCTAATTATCTCTATTCCTTTTTTACAAGACGCAACGAATCAATAAAAAATTTATCATCCTACTTCGCTATATGAACGATTTCCAATCAAGAAGTAAAATTCTGGTTTCCTTGGAGCAGTTAACTATTTTCAAAGGATTTACATTGTTTGATATTTTCAATTTTACAAACAATGGATTTGCCTGGGTTAGTTTAATCCATTGTGATTGTTACCTCAATTAGGCTAGCAGATATACATAATTTTAAGCTAACCAGCAACTATATTCTTATAGATTGTTTACGAATAATTCCTAATAATGTTTTTTTCATCTCATTTATTTACAGATGTTATTAAGATTAATTAGATACCTACTACTGGCATTCAAAAGGCTACGTCATTAATATTTGAATATCAAAAGAAAAATTGTCATTTTAGTTGTACTATTTTCTAGAAAATATATTGCACTGATTTTTAGAATAAAAATCTTTAAATTTTAGCTCTAATTACTTTCGTTTCATAATCTCTTGACTAGTGGTTAATTTTGATTGTTGTTTAATTTGTTTCTTATTAACATTTCAATTGAGTTGAAATTCGGTGGTTAAACTCATGACAACGCGTGTGTAATAAAGAACCGCTTAATTTGAAATTATCATTTTCTCCACATGTACAGTTTAAATGTTTCTATACCTTAGATTTGTAATGATTAATTCTATCATTTTATAGTAACATCTAATTGTTAATTTGTTTTATCTTTAATTCTGCTTTATTTTCATTTTCTTTGTTAATTAGTCAATGAATAATGAGCTCCTACAGTGGCAATTACTGGAAACAATTAGCTCCTAGACCCTTTTCATCCTTATGGATTTGGTGTGCTCATCGCTCACTCAAAAATCAACCACATGTTTTCTTTTCACCTCATAATATTGTTTCCCATGATGAAGATGATGATTATTCTGATGATGATTCCCACGGCCCGCTTAACTATTTCGATTATGATGGAGACAGTGAAGGATCAACAGATTGGTTAGACTCAACCTTGGCAAGCTTAGATCAAATATATTTATCTCCATCTGAGTGTATCATCAAATCTATTCCTGTTAACTCTGGTCATCGCAACTCATCATCCACAGATGTTGATGGTAATCAGATTCTGAGCGAAACTAAATCAAAAGTAAGTTTATTTAAATTAAATTAAAATTTGAATTTTACAGCAATCTTCAAGTCAATAATCGACAAGCTAGAGCCAATCCATTTCAATTTTTAAATTTCTTTTCATAGAGGCGTATTCCTAAACGTTCGGACAACAAGAGGAGGAAAGTTGAAGCTGATAATCGTGACAATAGTAAACAAGCTCCGGCTAGTGAACAAGAAGTTTCAACATTATCCCAGGAACAAGAAGATATTCTCGAAAGCCAAGCAATGAAGATATTAGATGTCAATGAGTCCCATTCGATTATTGTTTTAAAGAAGAGCCCAGTCAAATATTTTTCAATCATATATGGTGATGCTAAGCTTACTACAATAGTTGGCTCTATGATCTGTGATGGTTACACATTGAATCCTGAAGAATCAGCTCACATTTCAACTGGCTTTGGCTCCTATCAAATATGTATCAACCCGCTGAAATTTCAAAGATATCCTTCAAAGGATCACTTAGCAGAAGTTTTAGATTCTTTCGGCATATCAGAATCCCTGAAAGAAAAAATTTTTGATTATCTTGTCAATAGAGACTCTAGTATGGCCGAGTCACTCATTTTTTCGCTAGAAAAATGGAGGTGGCCGGCATTAACAGCGTTGCGATTGTTCATTAACCCAGAAGTTGAATTTTCTCATTGGTTTCAGTTGTCATTTTCTGAAACAAAATCTCCTGTTGGTCAATGGTCTCGCATGTTGGAAAGATTATCAGATGATATCACACAGAGTAAGCCTATTCATAGCATTATTTTATATTCTGTAGCTTTTGATCTGATTATATTTTCTTTTTGTTATTTGTAGAAACGCGAGCTGGTTTAGATCGTCCACTAAGTCCGATCAAAGGTTTGTCCATTAACTGCTTTTCTTCAATATTTCAAAAGGATTTTGACCATTAACTATTATTCATCTTTTGAATAGGTAAATCGACAAGAGGAGTTAGGATAGTTCTTCTTGGTGGCTGTAATAGTGGAAAGTCCAGTTTAACTCGTCATCTTAGTAATAGAATAATCAGTTCTGTTACAGATAAACTTTTCTTGTTCGATTGTGATCCAGGACAATCTGAGTTTTCTTCACCAGGCATAGTGAATTCAATTTGTGTTAAAGAACCAATCTTAAGCCCGCCATTTGTTAATTGTCTTCGCTTCAATAAGGATATTTTAGCCAGTTGTTCAATCGCTGGCATAGGAATTCAAAATAATCCAGATCTCTACATTGCTGCGATAAAGCATTTATGGAAAACTTTTCTTCTTTCACTACCTGATGCAGATATCGATAAACCTATCATAGTTAATACTATTGGTTGGACTCAAGGGCTTGGTATTAATTTAATGGTTGATGTTCTACGCATTTTTCAACCGACTCATGTAATTGAAATAAAAAGACCACCATATGATGGAAAGGATAATTTTCCTTTTAATTGTAATCCTGCTACAGTGAATCAACTCGATGGCTGGTCATTGAAACCTGATTTCGGAGGCCCTCCAAATATGCCCGAAAACTCTCAATGCTCCTTAAAACCTTATCTCAACTATGATTACATTCGGATATATAATGAATTCGCACCTAAAAGATGCTCTAGACAAGCTCGAACCAATCGTGTCAACAACCAATTAGCTTACTTTTGCCTTATGGATGAAATACTTTTTAAAAGTTTCTATGAACTTGAAGTAATAACTCTCGACCTAAAAAACCTTTATTTCCATGTGCAGTACGAATTTCCAATTGATAAACAGCTTATCCCTCATGTTATAAAAGACTCATGGGTTCATCTTTGCTCAATAGATGAACCAAATTTACCTCAAAATGATCAATATTCGCCCAAAGATCAATCTCTATTGGAGCAAAATAGACCAAGTACCTCAACTTATCAGGATAATTCTATTGGAAAGATTTATCCAATGTCAAATGAATCCGCTGTAACTTGCCAAGATTTGAGTGACAGTGCAGGAACTTCATCAACAAAATTCGCATCTTCCGTCCCACCTGGATTTTCCCAACTCAATCCCAATGCCAAACCATTTTGGGGAATAGAGCCGAAAGTAAATTTGAAAATATTGCCTTTTCTCAGAGAAAATAAATATCTTGGATCAGCAATCGTCCGTGATATTGATTTGGTGAACGACAAATTAATAATAATCACTCCCGAGTCGCCTGAAAAAATTGCTCAAGTCAATTGTATCGTAAGACCCCAAGGCATTTTTGTACCTGACCCATTGCAATTAGGTAATCATTGAAATGAATCGTTTTCTTTTTTATGTAAAAAAATATGCAAAAAAATTTGTTTATTGGCAACTCAGTGTTAACTGAATAGAAAATATGAGTAATAATAGCGACATTAAATGCTTTAAAATGCGGCAGGAATTAAAAAGGTATAGGAGACCGAAAACCCATTTAGGAATGAATGTCATGTAAGTTGAGCAAAAGGACCGAGTCTAAAAAAAGATCCATCATGATTAGATAAGAAACATTCAACATTTCCAAACACCCACAACCCTTTCTTGTTTTAAAATGAGCTATTTATCCAAATTCAAAAGTCAATCATTTTTTCACAATCATGTTCTGCATCATATCAAAACGATTTCCATCAGGTTGAACAGTTGATATTTTTCCTGACGCGTCTTCAACCAACAAGTAACCATGATCATCAATTCCTTTGATCGTCACTTCTTTATCACCGGATATCTTAATCTTTTGTTCAGTATGTAACCAATGTTGAAGATATAATTTCTTTAACATTTCAATACCAGTCCTCTCAGTTTCTTTGATCAAGTAATCTAGCTCATTCAAAGATCTAGCGATAACTTCCTCCACTGTAAGTGGCTGTAACTCTTTAGTTTCAAGGCAATTGGTAATCAATTGATTCAACGGTTGACCTGGATGTGAATTGTTTACATTGACACCGACAGCAGCAATGCACTGGACATTATTCCCGATCAAACTTGATGTAACAATGTTGCCACTAACTTTAACAGATTTTGCCCAATAAATATCATTAGGCCATTTGAGTCGTAGATCTGTAAGAGGAAAGTTTTCGAAATGAGGAAAATTTGATGAAAAAATAAATCCGTAAAATGTAAGCAGACTTTTGTTATAGATGAATTTTATTGTTCTTACCTAGTTTCTCATAACCAGCTGCTCGTATGATTCCTCGAAGAACTGCTAATGATACTAAATGTTGAACTAAACCTAAACTTTGTCCAAGTCGCGATGAAAGGGGAATATGAAATGCAACACAAAACATTGCACATCCTTTAGGAGAGACCCAAGTATTTCCACTTCTTCCCCGGCCTTGGGTTTGGACTCCTGCAACTGTAACCAAGCCATCGATAGAGATAAAAGGATCAATCAGATCAATTGTAGTTGTTGTTACTTCCGAATAGATGATTGTATGTCCAAAGCGAAACGATTCCAGGTTATCAAAGTAACGATCGAAGTTGAATGAATTAGTCGGTAATGAGGTAATTGGAACATTTAGTATGATTGGTATACGGGGATGAGTCTTCACATCCTCATCTTCCGATATACCTTTTTTAATGTAAACAGGTAGCTTGGAATTATCATTGATTTGTTTGATTAACATGTCACTTATTGCATCATTAAATCGAGAAACACAGTAAGCCGCAGTCAACGAGGGTTTCGCAGGTTCAATGATGTCTTGTTTAAAACCACCGAAATGTTTGTTTGACAACATTTGACAAACTCTTGAAGCATTTGACTTTATCATCGTTTCGTTGGACAGGATCCACTTTTTTTGGGCAAATGAGAAACCGTGATTCAAAGAAGTAAACATTTCACTTTTTCACCTTTTTTTATTTACAGTCGACATCTATAGAAATTTTTCAAAACTAATCGCATCTCAATCAAAATAGTCAAATCGGGTCAATCCAAATCAAGAGGGAAATTTAAAAAGGTAAAGCAACTTGAAAATTTGAAAAATTTATTCTAAGGCTAGACTAATTAGATAGTTAATTAGATTGATTAAATGCTAATGTCAAATGCTCAGAGGAATAGGTTCTGTTGATTAATGAGATCAAAAAGGTAAAAATAAATCAAAAAACACTATAATTTTGCAATTTATTTGGTTAGCTTCCAACCTTCATTGTTTATTTTTGAGTTTCACTACCAAGTCAATGAATTATAATTATAATAGAGACCTTGATATGTGAATTACATTCTGCAGATTCAGCAATTGATTTTGATTTGTTAATTACGAAAACAAATTAATAATCATGGAGTTGCCTAAGCGATAACATTTAATTTACTTCAACGTGATTTTATTTCTTAACTGAATTATCCATTGAAAATCCATTGTTCAGGAGCTTGAATCGTAATGATTATGTATTATTTTTAGTGTAATGTATAAATTATTCAGCATCAGTTATTCAACAATTGTATCAATTAATCTTTGAATAAAACAGCGTTCATCGCATGGAATCAGTGCTAAAGTAAACTATTGAAATTATTCAATCAAAATGACCTATTTCTATTCCTTACTTGTTGTATTAAAAATAGACAATTTAAAATATTCCAAGCAATCAAAATTACAAAGGTATAAATAAGGTACTGATAAAGCTCATAAAGTCAGTCAGCTACAAGATTGAATTCACTTCTCTTGAGTGTTTACTTCAACATGGCACTTACACATTTGCGAATGTTTTGTTTGGTAACCGTTTTTTTCGTTTTAAATTTGTGTATTGTTAATTGTGAGCCAATTAGAGTGAACAATCCTGAGGTGAGCTCAACAAAGCCCGAACACGATGAATCAAAGACGACTGAATCGAAAGTTAAAGGTGACCACACGAAGCCTCGAAATCTATTTTATCCTGGCAGTAAGTTGCTTGAATATTTTAAGTAATTATCATCCCGATTCATGTCATTAATTTTTGTTCTGGTCATGTATTTTATAGTAGACTATTCCGGTTTAGCTTCTAGTTTAATTCCTGGTTTAACTGCTGGTTATGCTCCTGGTTTCATTCCTGGTTTTGCTCCGGGATTGGCTCCTGGTTTTGTTCCTGGTTTCCCTCCTGGCTTCGCGCCTGGTTTCGCTCCTGGTCTCGGATATGGTTATGGTTATGGTAATGGTTACCCCATCGGTGGTATTGAATATATTGACCAATGTAAGTATAGAGTGGTCAATCGATTTGATAATCTTTACTATTCACTGCTAATTTTTTCAATTTATCTCAACAGTCTTTCCTTGACTAGAATGACCAAATTTCAATCGGTGGTCCTTATATTTATAACATTAAATTGCTGCTCTTAATTGTCTACCAATAAATTCAACTTTACATCGTTTTTTGTATTCAATCATCATATAATCAATAATATTTATTCGTCAATCACAACCTTTAATATTAACCATTAATTATTTGGTAAAATGAATTTCGTTTCAGTTTTTGTTTACTGTGAATATTAAATGTGCTGTTAAGAGATTTAACAGTTTTATTAAATACTATTTAACATCAATAGAGCGATGTAACTTAATTTTCTTTCGATAAAATATCAATCCAAAAACTCGAGGAATCAGCTTAAAGCAGCATTTTAGGTTAAATTTACTTGATTAAGGAAAATTGAAAATCATTGATTATGCTGCTCGACGAATAGTGTAAATAAGCTATTTCAAGTGAGTCTGAATTACTGGCAGGTCTCTGAAGTCGTTTCATTCACAAGATTATTACTGTAACAGAAGTTACTCTTGTGAAATAGCTATTTCATGAGAAAAACATGGGAAACTGTAATTTAAAATCAATTGATTAATCTTATACTGAACTTTATTTCAATGTACTGTTTTGTAAAAATGTGGCATTTCATTTGTTATGGCAACTTATTTTCTCACAGCATTTAATTTTAAATTAAATACCATTGATTTAGCTTTCTTTCAAGATCTTTCTCATTTCTGATCCATTTCATAACATGAAATGACATTTTTTATCGAACTACTAAGCCATTCTTAATATTCAACTAATAGATCATTAATTTCTTATCATATTATGTGTGACAAAAAGCAAGGATACATTAAATTGCTATGCTGGTTAAAAAATCCATTTTCCTGAAAAACAAACATTTCCAATCTTGAAACAACAAGGAAAGCTTGAATGGATAGCAATTGTCGAGAAATCTGTTGAAACATCAAATAAATATTTTTGTGTCTCAAGTTATTCAAAGCTTTGATCGTTTTGAACATTTTACTATTTATATTGTGATATTTGAAATGCGCAAAATTAATTTAACTGTTGGTGCTTTTACGGTAAGCAATTGAACTCTATGATTGAGATTCTCATCTAATAACTTATTTCATTTTGAAGGTGCCATTCGCTCAAGGATTTGATGAAGAAGATGGTGAAATTGTTCCTCATTTGAAGGCTTTGAAAGGGTTTGCAGCTATGCTCACTTCTTATGGTCCTTACAAGTAAGAAACTGTTATGATTCTGTTGAAAGTACTAACTATTCAAATGTTCAAGTAAATTTTCTTGTTAGTGTGAAATTCATTCTACCCGATAGTGGACAATTGGGTGCGCTGACAGAATCTGGTTATGATGATGGAGTTTTGGGTTTGATGCAAGAAGGGGTAAGTAAAAGGCTATTCGAGGCACAAGTTTTTGATTATTAACTTGACTCTCCGACATAAATAATGTAAAGTGAGGTGGATTTAATTGTTGGATGGATTTGGATTTAAAGTTATTTTAATCAAATGGATACAAAAACAAACAAATCAACTAGACGTTATTTGCAGCGATGGTGACAATCAATGTAAATTGAATGTTTCTTTTTATATTCGTTGATAACAGAAGGCTGATATGTGCTTCCTGCCATTACCGTTGGATACCCAAAAGGCTCCTGGTCATTTCACTTCAGTTATATCTGAGCAACTATTTTATGTCAGCACAGTACGAAATTTAGATGATAATACTTCAACAGTTGTGTCAAGTCTAACATCAATCAGCGTGATTCCTGTATTACTGGCCATTCTGTCCATATTAATATTGGAATTGATTGCTGTTAATCGCTTCAAAATTGAAGCATTGCTTACAGCCATTTACAAATCTTTTGGCATATCATTGCACCAACATTTTACTCAACGTTCATCATTGCTTTGCTTTATTCAAATGATCATCTTGATGTTTCCTTTTTTCATTTTTAATGCTTCATTCAACACTCAAACAATTGTCGGAAACAGAGACTACAAGATTGATACATTGAAAGATGCCATGAATAAGGGTAAAATACCGTTTTTCATTGAAGGCATTTCAAAGTATGACTTTTTTAAAGCCCAAGTTACCAAAGATTATGCTGATGTTTATGAACGCAGTGTCGCCGCCGGACTAGATGAACCCTTTCCACTAGGACCTATTCCTGTGTTTGAAAGAAGGGACAAGATGGTAACCTTCGTCTCTGGTATCGGTAAAAAGTTAACTCCATTATTAGCTGCTGCATCTTTACGTAAAAATAACCAAGAACAGTATTTCTCAGTCAAACCTTTTCATAGATCATTACAATCTATGCTTTTTGGCTATACGGCCGATTCCGCCAGAATAAGATGGAATACTCTGTGAGTGAATTGACTTAAATTATTATCTAAATTAGCAATTATTTCTTGCAATATCTGGCACTATTAAACCTTATCAAAAACACTATTTCTTGGTAAAATCTTTTCAAAGATCATTGCAAGTTATGCTCTTCAGTTGTGTTTCTCAAATCCTTCTGAACCAAGACTGAACTTCCCTCTGTTACCTATTGTTAAGAAATGATCTCATATTTAATGTAACTTATCCTTTCTTCATTCTTTGTAGGGCTCATCGTTTGATCCAAGGTGGGATTTCTTCAAAAATAGAAAGCGATGTTTTCGTTGGTTTCATTCTTTCCTTTTATCCTGCAAGTTTATATGACTTTCACAAATCAGAGGATTCTCGAAATGCGGCTGATCTAAGTTGGAAATCATTGAATTACAGAGGACTTCATGATATATTTCATTCATATCTTCTAATTTTGTTTATGATATTAATTTTGCATTTTTTTGAAATAGCCATTTGGTTTTTGATTGCTATAATTCGCAAATAAAATAAAGTTCGGGTGACTTACAGTTACTTCAATCGATTCAGTAGTTTTATAAAATTGCATAAACAAATGAATTTCAAAGCTTAATATTTTAAGGTGAAAATAAATGATGAAGAGGGACATGATGAGAATTAATTAGCCACTGGATGATGGAGAGGAAGATCATGATCAATTAGTTATTAGTGTTTATGTAATGAATTGAAGCTATGACGGACTGAGAGAAGCAAGAATCAGCGTAAACGATTAAGTGATATAATACACTGCTCGTCAAAAGTATAAGGCCACTTGACTTTTCTTTATAATTTGAAATTAGGGGTAGAAACATGAACCTTATCGAATCAACTTTATATAGGTGATAGAATTTGGTGATGATGATAAAGGGTGACAAAGAAAAGCAAACTTTTAGAGTTGGACGATAACTGAAAAATGAGATATCGATAGATATTGTTACACTCAAACCTCTCATAATGAGACCCACCGATAATGAGACAATTTCTGACCAGAGTCATCTATG